GGTAGACGTATATTTAGAGGATATTTCGTGAGATATATACGATAGATATTTGGTAAAAATTTGATAGAGATATATTTGTTAGATTCTCGTTTAAATCTTTGAAACAGTAAATTGAAACCATATATACCCGGTACTCTGAAAACCTATTTTTCTTCGTTTTCTTTATTCTATCTTGTTGTACGTACTTAAGTCTTGAATAATAAAACCTTTAGCCGACATTCCTCCTTGTATTTCTCTCTCCTGTTTTTTGTGTTTATCTTGATCGAGTGTGTGCGTTGTTGAGCGATCCTAACAACGGGTATCGATCCTAACAATTTTAACATGAAAATTAGTCTAGGAAAGAAAATATAAAAAGATTTTATGTTATATTTATTATGAAATTAAGAAAATATTTTAAACCAACCCGACCAAAATTCACTATCCAACTCTTTTATTTTCAGGTTGTATTCGATAGTTTGATTAGTTAGATTCTCGGGTCATATGAACGCCCTTATCCAAAACAACAGAAAACATGAACAAGAAAGACGAAAGTTGATTTTGTTCTATACATATATTAAAAACGTGTCTAAGACATGAATTACAGTTACCGAAAATTTATATTTATTATAAAAAATAAAAAATAAAAACACGAAAACGTCATCGAACGAGTCGCTATCCACTGCCCAACTAAAGTATATAGTGGAAAGAAAATTGAAATGGAAGGGAATCTTCCCCACCATGGATGAGATGAGGAGGAGGAGGATGGAAGGTTTTACAAAAACAAGGGGAAACATATAACCAAATTGTTTTATAGATGCTTTGAATTATTGGTTGAAAAGATGAGAGGAATGTAAGAAAGATGGGTTTCGTGGGGGCCCATTTGAATATCTTCAAACCTCATTCATTCCAAGATACTTCTTACCTTCCCTTTTTCTTTTTCCTTTTCAATTTCATTCAATCATGTTCGTGTTGAAGCTCGTTAGATCCCGTTCGATACTATATTTGATTTGTAGGACGTGTTTTTGTGTAGTGTAAGATTTGTCTCGAGATTACTGTTTCGAACGGTTAGATCAAAACTACAGTAAAAAAAACCCGTTTGATAACGTTATTTCTATATATGTTTTGAAAAACACGACCGCGAAACAATAAATTTAGTTTTGATACTAAGCCTTCGAAACAAAAAAAAAAACGAGAAATCTTTAATTATTTTTATAATCCATTCAAAATTGTTGTTAATAAATTAAAATAAAAACAAAAAATCTCTTTTTAGAATAGATGGCCAAACCACTGGTAAGATACCAAATCCACCTCATAATTTTAATTTACTCTTTTTTTCTCGCCTTTTTAATTTATTATTATTTTTTCTTAACATAGAAATATATATCAAAAGATGAAGTGTGATCGTATTTTTAACGGTTTGATTAAGTAAAAAGATTATACTTATTTTTTTAAATTGAATGATTAGATAATTAAATTAATAAAAGTGTTAAAATAAAAAATAAATAAATAAGTAAGAAAAAGAGTTGGGGAGGTAATAATTGGGGAGTTGAAATGGGACTAAGGTTGATTTTTCCAATAGGAAAAGCAAATTGTCATGAAAAATAGTGCACCAACAAATTGACAAAAATGGAACATATTTCAAATTGTAACCCCGGCCCTATTCAAGCCCCACTTTCTCTTTACTCTATTTTTCAATTCACTTTAATTTTTTCTATCCGTGTCGGTTAGGGAGATGTTTTTTCACCTATATAAATAGTATTTCGTTTTTCTCGAACGCGAGATTTCACATTAAGAATGAATATTAATCCTATTTGTTCTTAATTTTTTTTTTAATAATTATTAAAATAATAAAGTTTTTTCCAAAAAAATAATTATAAGTAATGAATTGGAATGCTCCGCCGTAGCCTCACTATATTTTGTCCATTTAAATAATACTTTATTTTAATTAAAAAAGCTTTTTATTTATTTATTTTTATTTTGTGAGCCAACCAATGATGAGGAGAGGGAAAAAGCCAAATGGAACCCATCACTGTCAAACTTGAAAAAAAAAAAAAAAAAAACGG